ACGTCGTGATGCACTGATTTGATGTGATTTTTGTCCCTTCTGTTAATGTTGGATCTATTATAGTGTCTGATTAACTGTTGGTATTATATTTTGCTCTTTTTTTTGAAAACTTTTAGTGGATTCTTTTTGTGAAATAAATTTGTATTGTTTGGAAGTCACGTCTCTGTCTTTAAATCCAATTCGAACCAGCAGAGTCCTTCATGTTATTATGACCACATTTGGTTTAATCTCTTTTTTATTATTATTTTTATTTTCTTGGGTGATGAGAACCTACTCGGGTTTTCTTAAACTTTTAGCCAAACGTTACACATACAACCGAAATTAATTAAGTGTAAAATAAAAAAGTGTCTAATAAATAGGTATGAATAAGTACTAGTATCTAATGAATAACTACTAGTATCTATTGAACAAGCTAAGCACTTTTTGCTAATGAATAAGTACTAGTAAGTTATCTATTGTTGCTAACGAATAAGTACTAGTATCTATTGTAGCTAATGAATAAGTACTAGCAACTGTTGTTAACTGGTAATTAGCACTGATTAGCACCATGTCAGCAGTCCGAGGGCTTTAACCGTCCACTTAATGCTGCAGCCCGTGCAAGACAGGAGCTGGCAGCGAAAAATGATGATTCAACATTACTTTCCACAACAACACGACCATTTTGCCGGCAATTAAGTTAATCGAGGTCGGTGTAAGGTTTCTTTTTTAACATTAGAATTGTTAATGTGCTAGCAGAAGTTCGGGCTAGCTGTTTAATGATATGCTAACTGACTAACTTGAAGCAAAACCGTTGCCAAAATGCATTCTAGTGTCTTTTTGTGAATGTAAGTTACTCGAGTCAAACCCTTATTTTAAAATTATATTAACGACAAAAACGGCACTTTTAAGATTGAGAAGTTTCAAGTTTCAGAAACCATTGATTTTTTGTGTTCCTCCCTCTCTAACGTTAACTCATTTATTATTTATCTGTTGATATGATTATGTTCTTTTGCATGATTGGCGTTTTAGAGAATTTTATTCCAATTAAACCATTTAAAGGAACACTCCGAGTTTTTGGGACTTTAGCCTATTCACCTTATCCCCCAGAGTTCGATAAGTCCATACATACCTTTTTCATCTCCGTGCGTGCTATAAGTCTGTTTGACGCACCCACCGCTAGCCTAGCTTAGCACAAAGACTGGATGTAAATGGTTGCAGCTAGCATACTAATCCAAATAAGTGACAAAATAACGCAAACATTTTTCTATTTACATGTTGTGATTTGTATAGTCACAGAGTGTACAAAAAACCAAGCCACGTGAGACACAGACATATTTAACCCTATAAATACTGGGAACTATATTCTCTGAAGGCGAAGCACTGCTACTTGGGCGGAGTGATAACCGCAGCACCTGAGACGCGCCGTGGTGAGGAGCAGAGAGCGCGTCTCAGGTGCTGCGGTTATCACTCCGCCCAAGTAGCAGTGCTAAGCTAGGCTAGCAGTGGGTGCGTCAGATAGAGTTACAGCACGCACGGAGATGAAAAAGGTATGTATGGACTTATCTAACTCTGGGGGATAAGGTGAATAGGCTAAAGTCCCAAAAAGTCGGAGGTGTTCCTTTAAATGGTCGTGATCTCAATCCAGTCAGCCGCGTTCAGCAAAGCGTCAGTAAACTGCCAGTCTGATCACGGCCATTTGACTGGTTTAACTGGGATAAAGTTCTCTAAAACGGTAATCATGCAAAAGAACATAATCATATCAAGAGATAAATAATAAATGAGCTAGAGAGGGAGGAACACAAAAACTGGGCCCAAAACATCAATCATACTAAAGAATATATGCATGAGATTATTATATTCGTAATTAGAAAACAATTTATTTCCTTGCAGTGAGACAGTGATTTGAAAATGTAGTAATGTAACCCAGGTCACTAAGGAAATCCTGTCAATGTAAGGAAAAAAAGACTAACACTCATGAATATGTAAAACAGTTATTTTATTCAATGTCCGTGAAGAGAAAATAAGATCTAAGTAGGTCACAAAAAAGAGAGAAATAATTAACAATTGTGATAAACTAAATAGGAAATATAAATCTATATAAATACGGGTTGTAAGAAGGTTACATTTAATTTGGTTGGAGCAAATCTTTACTGTCATCCTGGTCATTTTATGTCTATCCCCCCCAAGCCAAGAATGCCTGCTGACACAGTCATGTGTGTGTGTTTACAGGAGGATCTGCAGGGGAAACCCTTTTTGGCAAGCAAAACGTTTCCTCCTTCCAGGGCCAGATGATGGTTCTCTGCCCCCACAAAAGAACTGGAGGAACTGTTCCTCCAGTAAGTTTTCTTACACAAAACACAGTCATACAAAGTTTAAAAGACTTTATTGACTTATCTGAATGCATAATCAGGATGATTTTCACATAGTTTTGAAGCAAATATTCTAGGCTATGTGATACAATTTTCAAGTCTTGTGAATAAATAATTAGTATGGGTTTCATGACCTTATTTCAGTGACAATGTTTTTGAGTTTTTTCACAAACCACGCATAAACGTCATTATCTCAAAACTAAAAACTTTTACATACATGCTGCTGACATATTACTGTAGCAGAGTTTGTGCTGAATACAGTGTAATCAGACTCTAGCCATGACAATGTCACAAGTACCAGAAAAAAGCATAAATGTCAGAACACCGCCAGGACCCAGAAAACACCTCAGACCCCAGAGGGTTAATGAAGATGGTTGTGTGTTAAGCATCTGCGACTTACTTTCACTTTGATTTGCGATAGTTTGCGGCGCGTTGGCTTGATGAATAGATGCTCCTCTGCGGTAATGCGTGTCATAGCGGTATAGTCATCATACCTGATTATAACATGACACATAGCCTATAACACGCTCTAACACGTTTATTTTTTAGCATTTTTGAGAGGAGTAAAATTTACATCAAATTTACATATGTGGTTTCAACAACCAGATGCATTTACACTTGTCCAGTTTCCTCCTGAAGTGGTTTGAGCGATCGGATTCAAATCCATCTCGAATGCGTTTCGGAGGGCATTTACACCTGGGCCCGTATGTATAAAGCCATTCAGAGTAAAATTTTAATCTCAAGTCTGTCAAAATTCTAAGAATTACATAATTTTACTCTTATTCCTAAACTTAAGAATAAGTGTGATTCATAAAAGTTCCTAAGTGTTAAGACTTGGTCTCAGCTCCTAAATTATTTAAGAGGGCTGGAGAGGTCTCCTAACCTAGTTAGGAGTAACAAGATGGCAGCAGAGAGGTTAGGCCATGCACTTTTCAACGAAAATATGATGTATTTTAGTTAAATGAGTTGATCAAACAATAATAAAAAAAAGTTTAATCATCAAGGTATTCTTTTTGTAACTTACCTTTAAAAAGTTTCATAGCAATGCAATCAAAGTAATAATTATATTTTTGGCGACTGGAGAAATGCAGCAGTGCACCTGTGATGATATATTTATTTTAATGGCTGGTGAGCCAAAGACAATTTTCCACCTTGGTGGACAATAAAGATATTACAATTAAAAAGCTCACAGGAGAAAAAAAAAACATGTATTGTCTGCAACATAATCATTTAGTAATATTTGATTTTCCTCTCTTGTTTTTTCACCGGTTCATAATTTATTTGTATGACAGCTTGGCTAAAAATTATGTCAATTTGGAATGTTTCATTGTGTTATCACAAATAAACAATTGACTCCAGGCACAACTACACAATACGCTTACAAAATATTGAACACATTTTTAATACTATTTGAATAAAAGGGTGAATCTGACAATTTTCCTTCAATACTAATTTGTGATAATTTTGCACAATGCAAAGCCATTTAAAAAAATACATTTAAATATTAAAGTTTCAGTGTCTTAATTAAATTATTTTATTATAATTGCATTAAATAATTGGTGTCATGGTGCTGTGACCTCACCCTTGCAGGCTCACTATTGGCTGATTCAGAGGTTGAGGGCGGCCATTTTGGGTTCACATCATTGTAGTCCTTAGTTTGCAGCACTTAAGTCCCACTTCAGTCAGCACTTAAGAATCAGTCTTATACTTTACTGAAAGTTGCTTTTAGCTGCTTTATAAAAGTCTCCTACTCTTAGAAAAGTCCTACTCTTTACTAAGTATTTTTTTACACTTAAGTCAAAGCTTAAGACTATTCTTAAAATCATTTCTTAGAAGTTCTATACATACGGGCCCTGGGCCC